TCAACCGCCCCCCGCCCCTCCCCCGCCCAAAACCATTCTTCTCCTTTTAGCTCATTGTAATGGAATGTGACCTGTAGTTAAGGGCTTTTCCATTCCTTACTACTGCTCAGAGAACAGATCTGCTCTGTCTCATTAAAAGAAAAAAGTGAAGTGCTATTAGATGTTAATCACATAACAATTAGAACAAACAAAACATAAATTGGTTTACTAGATTTCTCATGTATGACAGTTAGAACAAGTGTATATACTAGTAAATGACAACTGAATATTTAACTTAATATTTTTACTTTAGGACACTGGTCAGACATCTAAAAAATGATTTGTATGACTCCTCACAAATTAGGTAGGGAAGGAGAAGTTAAAACTACAACTACTTAAATAAATCTTCACACACAAAATTACTATGAACATCTTTTCATGACAAATCATATTTTTATCATTGAAGTTACACACTTTTAAGTATCCAATGTAGAGAGAGGAGGGAAATATTTAAGAAATGTACTTCAAAGTCTAAAATTAAACACATCTGGCCCCGTCTTTTCCCTCCCCTCCCCCAGGCATGGTAGCTTTACCTTTCTCTCTTCTAAGCATGAAGAGCCCTTCTTCTGCCTCTGTATCTTGTTTCCGGAGCCCATTTCTCCTACAGCTCACTTCTACCTCTGTGATTTTCTAAATAAACTTTCTCTTACAATTTGAAGGGGAAAAAATTAAATTCAACACATCTATCTGGGATTCAGTTTCTTGTTTAAAAAAAAAATAAGGTATTAGAGCTACTGTGATACTTTCACCCGTTTTAAAATGAACAACTTTTATGATTTATTTTAGATAAAACATATTCCAAGATAACCCCCTTAAGGATATATTTTACTTACATTCTTCCTACACCTTCATACATGTTAGTCTCGTCTACCAAAGTCATAATCTCTGTATCTGTAAGATGGGCATGCTTTTTCGTTCTGTTTAGCTGTTCAATCTGTATGTCCGCAAGCTTCACCTTCTGTTGAGTGTCAATAACTTTAGCTTGAAGCTCTGTGAAGGCCTAATAAAAACAAGTCCTTGATTTAGTAGGTGAAATATTTTATAGGAAACATTTAAGTCAAATCCAAATATGTTAAAATAAAGCATGCTAACCAGAGGCAAAGCTGTGACATTTACTAAACCAAACATCAATAAAAGTTAGTATAATTGTAATCAATCAAGCCACTAGGCTAACTACTGAATTTACCCTGTCCTCAGAATATGGAATCATTTTGAAGCAGAAATAAATGCACATTAAATAGCCATATCAAGCAGCAGGTGCTCAAGGAGTAATAAAAGTAACAAATGTAACAGTCAGAGGATGAAACCCAGAGATCCAAAACAAGAACCATAAAGGGAACAACAACTCTCTACATTTGTATTGCTCAACTAGGTTTCAAAGCACTTTCCCACAATTGTTTCAAATATTAATATAGGTATCTTAATAAAATGAGAACACTGAGGGATATAATAAGTACCTCATTTACTCCTCTCAAATCCTATGAGTTATGGTGGCAGTTTCATCATAACAGTTTATAAATTAAGTAAATGTGATAAAGAGAGTTAAGTGGCTTGCACAGGGTTGAACAACTATCGGGAGGAAAGGCAGGTACTTAAATCCATTTCTTCTATTGTCTACAGTAATATCCAGAATATAAATATTTTTAAGAGAAAGAAAAAAACACCTATTAGAATTGCATCATGATCTTCAAATGCATAGACAAAGCCAAATTTGACCCTTATGTACACTTACCTCAGGAGATAAACACAGTTCGTGAATACTCTTAAGTGCCTGGAA